GAGCCGGAGGAGGGGAGGGGCTGGTGTGAGCATTCAGCCGCCAACTGTGCCCCCCCTCCCCAGGCAGCGCGGAGCCCGCGGCCCCTCGCGGGGCGTCGGCGCGGCCCGGCGCAGGGTCCCCTCGGGGCTCACCTGCAGCTGTAGATGTCGTTGATCTGATAGTGCTTGTTGAAGGCGATGGCCTCCATGCTGTCGGTGAGGGGCCCGTCCAGCACTCGGATGCCTGCAGGACAGAGGACAACGGAGCGTGACTGAAGCGGATCAAAGTAAGCCGCATAAACGGCGCAGACAAATTCCTCGGCAGGTTCACGCCGGGGACGCTCGCTCTCCCGGCCTGACCAAACCAGCTCCCCCGGAGCTGTAACCCTGCAGACGAGTCCGCAGGGGCTGGGTGCGCGCGAGGGGTCGTAGCTGCGCCCTCACGCACAGCTCCGCATCCTCTGCTGGACGTGGCTTTTCTGCCAAGCACGTCCTCCGGTTCCCCCGCCGGGACCGAGTCGGCGACGGTCAGAGCACAACCGAACACCAGCCGGGCTCGCTCCCGGGCACCCCGAGCCCCCCTACCCAGAGCGCTGCTCCCCAGGGGCTTCTTCACATCCCGCCCTCAATTAGCCTGCTGATCTGTAGGGCTAGTCACCGCCCGGAGCAATTGCTCCCCCCCTTCCAAGTCGCCACGCGGCCAGGCACGGCGTCGGGACGGGCGGCACGCTTGCCTGCTGAGGGAAGGGCTCAAGAGACGCGGGACGCCGCAGCTACTGCGCTCAGGCCAGGAGGGCGAGGCCACCTCTCCAACGAAACCAGCGAAGGCTCAATGCTGAGTTGTCAGTGACACAAACCGTTGATAATTACAGTTTTGCATCACAGTTTCGGCTGGCAAAGGATGTTACAAATGGAAACCGGGCACGCATCTCAATTAAGCCTATTTATAAACAGCGCAACCGCCCACCCATCTCAGCTCTTGCCTGACACGGCACACGCGGCTTTTTACTGTCGCACGGGAGCCTCCCCCGTGGAGGAGCGGAGCAGCCCAGCTAGGGACGCGCCGGCTGGCACCGCGCTGGCTCCAGCACTTCCACGCTGCCCGGGCGGTCTCCCCGCCCCCCCACGGAGCCGCAGGCTGCCCCGCTGTGCTCGCCCCGCGAGGCGAGGCCAGGCACAGCTTCGGAGAGCTGAAGCCCGAAGAAGCGCCAGGTCCCGCCTGAGCGACCCAGGGTTAAACCCTCCCTGTTCCCCGCGCTGCGGTTAGACTACGAGCTCATCTTCCCTTCTGCCAGCTGGGCTTTGCTAGCAGCCTCTGCCCGCTGCCTCCCAGGCGGGCCGGAGCCCGGGGACCCGGCTGCGCCGCGATCAGGGGGGCTGCGCAGGGAGCACCCTGTCGGGGCGAGGCTGGGAGGGAGCCGAGCACAGGGCGGGGGTGCGGAGCCGCCTGCGGTGCCCTTGGGCGAGCCCCCGGCCCCCAGCACCCTGCCGGCACCCCGGGGCCCACCCGCTCCCCAGCCCCGCGTCACAGCCAGGGAACGTGGCACCATCTGCCGGGTACGGAGAGAATCACGTCCCAGGCTGCTCCGCTCTGCCAGGGACGCATCCTGCCCGGCACAGAGACCTCGCCTCCCTCTCTGAAGGAGGCCGAGAGCTCCGGAGACAGCCGAGGCCGCAGCGGCGCGTTCCCTGGCTTGGCGCAGGAGAGACGCGCGGCCGGACCTTCGCGCCCCGTCCATCGCACAAGGCAGGACCCGAGACCACGGGCCGGGGCAGCACGGGGGACTGGCAAACGTTTGCTCCCCCAGCGCCTCCGGATACAGCCGGCAGCGCTGCACCGGAGCGGGCACGTCGTCACGCGTCTGCCTGGCTTAGGCCGCGTGGTACGGACGTGCCTCTGCCGAAAGCTCCGTGGCCGGGCAGGCGGCGTGCCGGGGGTACTCCGGAGAAGCTGCCCTGGCAGACGCTTATCCAGCTTTCCCAGGAACCGGCTCCTCTGGAAAGGAGCTCAGGCAGACGCCGGTTCCTCCCTCCGACAGCCCAACCAGCCCGAGCGAGGCACCGGCCGACTCGGAGCCGCCTCGGCCAAGCCACCCCTCCCACGGAGCCGTGCCCCGGCCCCACGGCATCGGAGGTGAGACGAGCCGGGCACGAGCGCAGCACGTCGGGGTGCCGAGGCCCGCACGTACCTGCGATGCGGCTCCCGTAGGCAACTCCCACCGTGCAGAAGCTGTTGTTCGGCACAGCCGCGATCTCCCCGGCGCAGCGGGTCCCGTGGTGGTTGCCGTTCTCCTCGTCGGGGTGAGGCATAGGGTCGGGGTCGTTCGAATTCAAGTCATAGCTGCCTTCTGGGCTCTGAAAACAGACCCGCAGTCACGACTCAGGGCTCTGCTCCCCTCTCTTCAGGAAAAGCGGGACCTAGGAGCCCGCTACGCGGGCCGACACGCAGCCTGGAAGTCACGGGAACGCAGAGGCCGCTTCCACACGGGGCCGCAGCTCAACGCTGCTATCTGCTGCTGCGGGAAAGGGACCGACGGAGGCAGCTC